TATTGATGATGGGCAATTTGTTAGAAGTATTTACCGTTGTTAATTAATCATATTTGTTTATGCTACCTAATTAGTGGAGTTAGTGGAATAACTAGTGGGATTAGTGGAATACCTAGTGGAGTTAGTGGAGTTAGTAGTGGAGTGAGTGGAGTTATTGGGATAGTTAGTGGAGTTAGTGGGATAGTTAGTGGAGTTGGTTAAACTCTATAAATAGAGTAATTTCATGTTATAAGTTGGTGAGTTTTACAAAGAAATAAACATTTGTCCTTTGCTTCTCTTATTATTTGCCTCAATATTTGTATCAGTGGTACCAGAGCTAGGCTAGTGAGTGAAAACAAAAGTGAGTTGTGAGAATTGTAAATTACGATGGCCACCGACAATTTTGTGCAGCCAGCAATTCCTCGCTTTGATGGTCACTATGATCATTGGAGTATGCTAATGGAGAACTTCTTGAGATCCAAGGAGTATTGGCAGGTTGTCGAATCTGGAGTAGCAGAGCCAACAGCCGGAGAAATATTGTCAGAGGTGCAGAAAATGGAGTTGGAAGCATTGAAACTGAAAGATCTTAAAGCCAAAAATTATCTTTTTCAAGCTATTGATCGAGCCATTTTGGAGACAATTCTTAGCAAAGATACCTCCAAACAAATTTGGGACTCCATGAAGAAAAAGTATCAAGGAAATGCAAAGGCGAAGCGGGTGCAGCTTCAAGCTCTTCGGACCGAATTTGAGACTTTACGCATGAAGTCAAGCGAATCAGTCACTGATTATTTCGCAAGAACGATGGCAATCGCTAACAAGATGAGGATCCATGGAGAAAACTTGAAGGACGTCACCATTGTCGAGAAGATTCTTCGATCAATGACAACAAAATTTAATTTTGTTGTATGCTGTATAGAGGAATCGAAAGATATTGATGCAATTTCAATTGATGAGTTGCAGAGTTCTTTGTTGGTTCATGAGCAAAAAATTAACCAGCAAGAGAAAGAGGAGCAAGCACTAGTGGCTTCAGCAGAAATTCACTCAACATGGAGAGGAGGCAGAGCAGAGGCAGAGGCAGAGGCAGAGGTAGAGGAAATAATGATCGTGGCAACCAACAACAACAATACCAGCACCAAGAAAATCAATTTCAAGGAAGAAGAAGAGGACGAGGAGGCTATCCATTAACAAATCAAAGGCCAAAGTCAGCAGACAAGTCCAATGTTGAATGCTACAAATGTCATAGGTATGGCCATTATCAGTCCGAATGTCGAACTAATTTGAATAGACAAAATGGAGAAAGGACTAATTTTGCAGAAAAAGAAGAAGAAGTGTCTCTTTTGATGGTGTGCCACATGAGTGAAGAAACTCAACAAAACACATGGTATTTAGACACCGGTTGCAGCAATCACATGTGTGGAGATAAGAAGGCATTCTCTGAATTGGACGAGTCATTCCGTAGCACTGTCAAGTTTGGTGATAACTCTACAATTTCTGTTATGGGAAAAGGAAGGGTAATTATCCAAGCTAAAGAAAATTCTTCTACCCACACTATTACTGATGTTCTTTTTGCTCCAGACTTAAAGACAAATTTGCTTAGCGTGGGTCAGTTGCTCGAAAAAGGGTACGAGATTTCAATCAAAGGTGGTGTATGTCAGATTCGAGATGCAAAGTTGGGCTTAATTGCTCAAGTTAAGATGACGGCAAATCGTATGTTCCCACTCGATTTGCAGAACTTGACTCATTCATGTTTCTCGACAAAATCGAAAGATGTGGGATGGTTATGGCATTTTCGTTATGGACATTTGAATTTTGGTGGACTGAAAACTTTGCAACAGAAAAATATGGTAGCTGGTTTACCTCAAATCACAACTCCTTCAGAAGTTTGTGAAGAATGTGTTATTGGCAAACAACATCGAGATAGCTTTCCAAAAGGAAAATCGTGGAGAGCAAAAAATGTCTTGGAGCTGGTTCACTCTGATCTATGCGGACCCATAAATCCGTCATCTAATGGTGGAAAACGTTATTTTATGACGTTTACTGATGATTATAGTCGAAAAACTTGGGTCTATTTTTTGCAGGAAAAATCTGAAGCATTTTCAACGTTCAAAAATTTCATGACTCTTGTCGAAAAGGAAGCAGAAAATCCATAAAATTTTTCGCAGTGATCGTGGTGGAGAGTATAATTCACAAGAATTTATAAATTTTTGTGAGGAGCATGGAATTCAGAAGCAGCTTACAACCGCTTATACGCCGCAGCAGAATGGTGTTTCAGAGAGGAAGAATCGTACAATATTGAACATGGTGAGGAGCATTTTGACAAAAAGTGGTGTTCCAAAAAATTTTTGGCCGAAGCTGTCAACTGGAGCATTCATATATTGAACAGAAGTCCCACACTTGCTGTTAAAAATATGACGCCTGAGGAAGCATGGAGCGGACGGAAACCAACAGTGGATCACTTCAAAATTTTTGGATGCATTGCCTATGCTCATGTTCCAGAGCAAAAGAGGACAAAACTAGACAACAAAGGGGAGAAATGCATTTTTCTTGGTGTTAGTGATCAGTCAAAAGCTTATAAGCTTTATAATCCTATCACCAAGAAAATTGTCATCAGTCGGGATGTAATTTTTGATGAGGAAAATTTTTGGCCATGGAGCAACAATATTATTAAACAACAAATACCCGCTGATTTTGATGGAGTTGATGAAGAAAACAGGCAGCAGTTGACAGAACAAATTCCATCAAATGGTCCAGATAATGTATCAAATTCCCAAACAGTAGCAGAAGATGAAGGACGGCCTCAACGTATTAGAAAAAGACCTGCATGGATGATTGATTATGAGGTAACTGGAATTGATCAATCTGAAGACCCACTTACATATTTTGCACTATTTTCCGATTGTGATCCTACAGTTTTTGAAGAAGCTGTCAAAGATTTGAAGTGGCAGAAGGCAATGGATGAAGAAATTGCAGCTATTGAACGAAATAACACTTGGGAGTTAACCAATCTTCCAGAAGGACAAAAATCTATAGGTGTCAAGTGGGTGTACAAGACGAAATTAAAGGAGAATGGAGAAGTTGACAAGTACAAGGCACGTCTGGTAGCTAAAGGCTATAAGCAAGAGTTTGGGGTGGATTATGGAGAAGTCTTTGCTCCAGTCGCAAGGCATGACACGATTAGGATGGTGATAGCATTGGCAGCTCAAAATTCATGGCCTATCTTCCAATTGGATGTGAAATCAGCATTTTTACATGGTGATTTACAGGAACAGGTATTTATTGATCAACCTCCTGGTTATGTGAAGGTTGGAAGTGAACATAAGGTATACAAACTCAAGAAAGCATTATACGGATTAAAACAAGCCCCGCGTGCTTGGTATAGTCGTATAGATGCTTATTTTTCTAAGGAGGGATTTAAGAAATGTCCATATGAGCATACACTTTTCATAAAGATTGGAGATGGAGGTAAATTGCTGATTGTTTGCTTATATGTTGATGATCTTATTTTTACTGGGAATGATAGTGCCATGTTTGAGAAATTCAAGAAATCTATGATGGCTGAATTTGATATGTCTGATCTTGGAAAGATGCATTATTTTTTGGGTATTGAAGTGGTGCAATCTGCTGATGGAATTTTTGTCTCTCAAAGAAAATATGTGCAAGAAATTCTGAACAGATTTCAAATGTCGAATTGTAATTCTGTTAGTACGCCAGTTGAAGTGGGTTTAAAACTCATCAAAGAACCAGGAGGAAAGAGGGTTGATAGCACCCTTTACAAGCAAATTGTGGGAAGTTTGATGTATTTGACAGCAACTAGGCCTGATATTATGCATGCTGTAAGTCTTATTAGTAGATACATGGAAAGTCCAAGGGAGACACATCTTCTAGCTGCCAAGAGGATTCTTCGATACTTGCAGGGAACCATTGAGTATGGATTATTTTACAAGAATGGTGAAAAATCAGATTTGTTTGGTTTTACTGACAGTGACTATGCAGGCGATTCTGATGATAGAAAGAGTACGTCTGGGTATGTGTTCATGATGGGTTCAGCAGCTATTTCATGGTGTTCAAAAAAGCAACCAATTGTTACGTTATCAACAACTGAAGCAGAGTATGTAGCTGCAACCGCCTGTGCCTGTCAAGCAATTTGGTTAAGGAATATTCTTGAAGAGTTGCATTTTCAGCAAGAAGGAGCTACTACAATTTATTGTGACAACAGTTCTGCCATCAAGCTCTCTAAAAATCCAGTTCTACATGGAAGAACCAAACACATAGATGTGAGGTTTCATTTTCTAAGGGAGCTCACAAGGGATGAAATAATTGATTTTCTCTACTGCAAAAGTGAAGATCAGATTGCTGATATAATGACCAAGCCATTGAAGTTATCCACGTTTCAGAAATTAAGGAAGCTGCTTGGAGTCTGTGCAGTTAATAAATCATATTAAACTGAATGTTTGATAAACTTTCAGTTTAAGGGAGGAATTGTTAGAAGTATTTACCGTTGTTAATTAATCATATTTGTTTATGCTACCTAATTAGTGGAGTTAGTGGAATAACTAGTGGGATTAGTGGAGTACCTAGTGGAGTTAGTGGAGTTAGTAGTGGAGTGAGTGGAGTTATTGGGATAGTTAGTGGAGTTAGTGGGATAGTTAGTGGAGTTGGTTTAAACTCTATAAATAGAGCAATTTCATGTTATAAGTAGGGTGAGTTTTACAAAGAAATGTTTGGCTCCGTTTGGATTAGCTGTTTTTGGGGTTGTTTTTTAAAAACAGCACTATTCATTTTTTGAAAAACACTCAATGTTGTTTGGATTAGTTGTTTTTCAAAAACAGAGTGTTTTTTAAAAACAAGCGTGTATGGATTCACCGTTTTTGAAAAACAACATTTAATTTTTTTTGGGGCTGTGTTCGAAATACTTAATGCCATTTGCACTTAAACAATTATCAATTTTTTAATACATAGACGAGACATAAGTGTACAATTTATTGGGCCTACTATCTGAACAAATAGTGACCGGAGATGTTCTACTGGTGCTGATAATAGTACATCATATCGGCTATTGCTCTCCTACTTTCATTCCATTCAGCAATTCCTGCAGCCGACATATCTGGAGCTTGTGCTGCGGGCATTGGGTTGAAGGGGTTTATGTTATCTTCCAATGCTATATCTGCTTCTTCTTCAGCAAAATATGCATCATTTGGAACATACTCTCGCATGAAGTTGTGCAAGGCCATACAAGCCAGTACAATATTAATTTGAGTAGCCATCATGTAATTCTGCATAGGGCCCTTAAGTATTGGAAATCGTTTCTTCAAGACGCCAAACGTACGTTCTATAATGTTTCTTAACGATGCATGCCGTTTGTTGAAGAGTGTCCTCACTGCCCGCTCTTGCGCAGTTCCGCGTGCACCTTTAAATGGAGCCATAAATCCTGCCATATTCTGGTAAGCCGCGTCCACCGCGTAATACTTCCCTGGCATAATGAAATTATATTTATAATTCATTGAAGACACAATGAGGAAAGGAATTATGTGATTTAATCTGGACTAACCTGCTGGTGGCCACGGAAATGCACAATTAGGATCTTGTATGACTTCTTGTAAGATTCTAGAATCATGTGCGCTACCCTCCCACCCTACCCTGACATAAGTAAATCTCATGTTGTGATCACACACGGCTAGAACGTTTTGTGATAAGCTACCATGCCGGTTCCGGTACCGTTCCCTGTCTTCGGCTGTACACCAGGCCGAAACGTGTGTTCCGTCAATCGCTCCAACGCAATCCTAATAAAAAAAAATTCTTCCCATAAGTGGGTCACAGCTGTTAGACAAAATGAAATAGTAATTTGACATAGTAGCTCATAACCTTAAACCAGGGCCAAAACAAAGCACTGTTCTGTATTCTTGGATGGGTTGTGTGATAATCTACCGGTCGGACCAGGTCACGTCCCAATCGAACGAGAGATCTAAGGCAGCGGCGTAGATGGCGGTCCGTTGTCTCGGGAGAATGTTGGAATCTGTCGGCAAGCACCCTATGTCGCTCATTATGGCTCAAACACAGCAGGCATATAGCAACGGACTCATGAATCCCCACCCGTTGTGTCGGGTGGGCCACCCAATAGCCCCTCTGAACCAACAAGTCACACAATTGGAGGAAAAGGGGAGCTTCCATTCGAAGGTTGTCGAATATTCTGTCTCGATGGCCGTTGATCAGCTCTATAACATATTGAGGACCTGACTGTGCACTATCTCGAATTCTTCGGCGCTGGCCCGAGTTGATGTACGGGTCGAATAAGGCCAATCCAGCAAGAATAAAGGCAGCGAAGGCCAACATGAGCTCGTCGTCGTCCGAGTCATCAGATAAGTTCCCACCATTCACATAACCATCATACTCCATTTCGTTTAATCTGTGCGACTGCGTTGGATGTGAATCTGAAAAAAAAAAAAGGAAAACAGAGATTTCATTCAAAACCAATCTTAATTTGCCAGAGATTGGGTAGGAAATATAAAACTCAACATATACATGGACCAAAATTGAACAAAAACCTATTCGCCAACCAATTTATAGCCAAGAGGATAAGTTCTGAATTTGTAAGACAAGAGGATTGGTTTGTAATAGCAATCGGATAGGCTATTCTTGAAATATATAGGCTATTCGATTGGTTTGTAAGACAAGAACATAGGATAAGTTCTTGAAATATATAGGCACAGAGATTGGTTTGTAAGACGAGGATAAGGATTTGAAATATATAGGCTATTCGATTGGTTTGTAAGACAAGAGGATAAGGAATCGAGGCTATTCGCCAACCAATTTATAGCCAACAAGTTGAGGGATCCAGTAGAAGTTTTGCATCTTACTTCATAAAAAGAATCTTACATCTTCTTCAACCATTTGGACGTATTCTTGAAAGAATTGTTGAAGTAAGACATATTCTTGAAAATAGTTGTTGAAGTAAGTCATATTCCCTACCTAAAACTTGCTCTAAAAATGATCATCATACCTAAAACGAGCTATTTTCCTTCCAAAAGTTGCTCTTTGAATGTCCCTTACTTCAATTACCTTACATCTTTGTTAAAGTAAGTCAATTTCTTAAAATAAGTGTTATTCTTTATTCCTTACTTTATCCGTTAGTAAGGAATAACTTGGCGTTACTTTATTCCTTACTTTAGCAGGAAATTCTCAACACCGAACGTAGGTGTTTTGGGTGGAAGAGCCATAAAAATCTGAATCACTTTATTCCTTACTTTAGCAGGAAATTCTCAACACCGAACGTAGGTGTTTTGGGTGGAAGAGCCATAAAAATCTGAATGTATCACGTCGTTGTCTGTGAAAGAAAACTTTCTTCTGAACCCACCACCAAATGGTAGCTAAGATACCCTAAGTCTCGAATTGATAAAAGAAAACATTTATTATCGAATTTGTCAGTTGCTGAATAAATAATTAAAGGCAATGGTGCTTGGAGTCCGGAAGAGCCAAAAAGAATCTAATCCGTTTTCTTCTCTTTCTTCGGCTGTGGCTTCTGATATATCCTGCATCTGACACAGGATGGTACCATTTGTCACCACACATATAGCAGAACCCAGAACAACTTCGAGAAATTAAGGAAAGCAGAACTCGAGTTTTCACCTTAAAATTCTCAACTATCTGTGGGACCCTGGCAAAGAAGAAAATTGCATGCTCGGATGCCTGACGTCGGACAATAATGCAAATACAAGCTTCAAAAAGGCATAAAACTCCAAATTTAAACTTAGCAACTATAAGAGCACAAGAATAGTTAGCCGTGAGAAGCATAAGCCAAACTTATGGGATATAAAACATTAAATCATTCTACTGACATTAATCGCCTCGAAGAGAATGGGGTCAACCCGACCAGCTAAAATAGTTGGCGCTATAGCACAATATCTGTGATGAACATAGTAAAGGAAGCAATATCTCATAAACAAGTCATCAATTAGTCTAAACTGCAATAGTAAAGGGAAAGTGTCTTCATGTAGGATACAGTAATGCCCTGATCCATGTCTTCATTCCTAGAGGTTGAGAGAAGTAATAGATGATGGCAACAGGGAAAGTGAAAGGGTTAGAGCCACTTATCTCATCATTTAATTCCAATAACATACATATAGTGCTCTATAGATATCAGTCACCAAATCCAGAAAAGACATGTAACTCAGAAAGACCCTGATAGAAAACAAGTTTACCCATACATTAACTGTGTACTTAGGAAAACACAGTAGACCTGCAGCTCAACCAAAGGCAAAACTGTAGCCAAAAACAAGTTTCAAATATTCAACCGACATTGTAGCCGGCCACTTGCAACCTGTAGTCTGCACCAAGAAATCACACATGTATACAGAAAAGCAAATTTGGCCTCATCTAAAGCATTATACAAGGCTTAACATTCAAAATTTAATGATTTGTTATATCCAACCTAATAGAAAAGAACACAAACCAGTTTTAAATAAAAAAAAAGGCTTGAATCCGCAAACCAATTCTTAAACAAAGGCATCATGAATTTAATTACTCAACATTCATCCGCAACACAACAACTCAACAACTCAACAAACCAGTATTCATCCGCAAATTCAAATATACAGACCACAACACTCACAAAGGATAAAGTCCAAGTTCCGGTAGCAAATGCTACACCTAACAGACCTCAAATACAAACAAACATTAGGCAACAACTCAAGTTTCAAATAAATGCTCCTGATGAACAACGAAAGCACCTAAAAGGGGGTGGGGGAGGGGGCTCCTGAGAGTCAGGGGGGAAACAGCCTTTTAGCTTCATCCAAGTGATGCGGTCGGCGTCACTTGCAGCTAAATTCCAAATATCCAGCTCTTGTTTATCCTTCAATATCTCAACTGCGTTGTATTTGGCCATGAAATTGACGTTCTCAATAAGTTTAAGTTGCTCCATGGCAATTTCATAGTCGGTTTTCTTCGATGGATCGCGGCCAGAACGATTCTTGTTCGGAGAACTAACTGAGGCACTCGTGCTGGAGCTCTTCTTCCGACTAACCAGTGACTCGATGCTTTCACAGACCCTGAGATATCTATCGGTCACTGAGCCAGAAGCGGTGGACATGGGACTACAGCCAGAGCCATCACCCGACTTCCGCTTTCCTTTCCCCTTTCCTTTTGCTTCTTTCGGCCCTCGCACCTCAATTTCAGCTTCCTTGTCCCTGCTGGACCTTGATCCCTTTCCCCGTGCAAGCCGGGCTGTAGTCTCCATTTCTCGCTCATCGGCTGAAGTACGGGGCTCGTTCTCGAAGCCAGAACTGAAGTCTCCCGTCGCGCCTTGGTTGACGAAGACTTCCTCAAGCAAATGATAGACGGTGCAGTCATTTCGAAATTTGCTGTATTTTGGGTTGACCTGACAAAACAAATTCAGCCAAAATAGTTTTAATGGAATATACACGTATGAAATGACAGAACAGTTTATATACAAAAACAAAAGGCACATAAAATGGTTATACCTGCTCCATCGCGGCCCATTGGCTATCATCCATAAGCCATGTAAACTTCTGGCTATCCTAACCCATTCCCGTTCCACGCCTCTTAAAGGAAATGTACAGCTTGGTCTCCCCGCGCAATGCATAATACTTGCCCCTTATACTATCCTCGGTAAACGAGGTGCCGTACTGGCCATTTAACCGGCGCCGGATTTCGGGAACCACGTAGGACCCAATATTGTCCCTAATTTCACCCTGTCTATGCATCTCAACAAGGTGCTCAGCAAACTTGATTTCGTGCTGCCTAGAGTAATTACAACGCTCCTTATCTTGATGGCGCCTTTGTTTTCTCATCTTAATAAGCCATACACAAATCCATTTGAAAAAACAAATTGTAAGCAGCTTTTTAGAAAGGAAAACAGATTGTATTGCATAAGCAGCTAAATTTTATTTAAAGCACGTTTAACTACACTTTATAGCCAAATCTGTGGATAACCCAAATCTGTCAGCCATTAAATACACTTTAAATAACCAAATGGTTAATCGAAAAATACAGCAATAACCAAGGTTTAAATACTAGACAATCATGTATTGTAATGAGGATCAAGCCAAATCTGTTAACAAAATCTAAAAAACTATAACTAAAAAAGATTAAATTGAGCACCCATCCAACATAACACTAGCAACTCAGGAACAAAACCAGTTTTGGTAATGTGAAGTTTCGCTTTAGAGTCAAGAGTTATGACAAAAACTGAACTAAATAACAAATGCTAATTCTGCATAGTGAAATCCGACAATAATATTCAAGGCAATGAACAAAAATGTTCGAATTTACTGTTTCATGGGACAAGGAAGAAGGTCCAACTTTAGAAGAGTCAGCCCCCAAACATATTATGACTAAAATGGTGTTTCACACACAAAATTAGGCAAAAACAACTACAGGAGGTACAATGGTACCTTGTAGTAGTTAGAAAGGCACTTCCGAATATCGTTTTCCGCCCAATCAGACCTGGTTGAAAGAGATTTCTGGATCCCAATCGGCTTCAATGCTGTGTCAACAACAAGGATCGTCAAATACTAGACAACCATACTATAGAATGCACTGAACAAAGGGGAAATTGGCAAATATACCTTTGGCAGAACGGCGGGTAACAGGGGGCATGAAATCCTAGCCAGCGGCAATATAGAGCGGTAAAGCACCCTGTATAAGCGAATGGACAGCAAGGAGAAGTTAGACTGCTCTATAAATTCAGTTGCTTTTGGGAAATCAAACTGCCCTAAAATTTGACTCTCGACATCTCATCGCGCAAGTTTTAAGTAATAAAATAGCTACATAAATATTTGGAACATGTAGCAACAGCCGTCGAATATTCTGTCCAGGTTTCAATCAAGAGAAAATATTATGCGACAACCGAAAGTTTCAGAAGTAAGCAAATTATAGACAACTAAGGAACTCAAATTGAGTTAACTTTCCACATCCACAAAAGAGAAAAAGAAAGTGCTAATTCAATCATCAAAGAGGGAAAAATGGTAAGCTTTTTGAACTAGAGATCAATCTGGATGCTATTCTTCTTGATTTAGTTAGAGTTATGAGTGCAATCAGATCAGTTGTCCTTAACTTGTTGAGTGCACACACAGATGACAAGAAATTGAAGAATAAAGATGAGTTCTCTACAATCACATATATACTGCTCCTGCAGATTCTCCTGAGATTAATCTAACAGGTACACAAAAAAGTGATGCAATACCACCAATATCAATCATACCTCCTATCAAAAAATTGATAGAGAATGTTGACATGACAAACAGGAGGTACCTGATGCCAAAAACAACACCTACCAAGCATCTTTACTAAGACGAATAATAGGAAAGGTCTAAGCGTACTGAAATGGTGATTGTTGATGACTACAGCCAGTTCAGTCTAACAAAAAAGCGGTTTACAGG